TGTCCAGAGTACAGTAACATGGAACATGAAACAGAGTCTGTTTTTTCGTTTCAACGCTACGTTGGAATACTCCTTGGTCTGCATGGACTTCCAACAGACCCCACAGGTTCCCGCACTCAAGCGTTCAGGCAACCCCTCGTGGAGGCAATGCTAAAGCCGGCAAATGAACATGAATCACGTGAATGTATAAGAAAAGAGCCAATGAGAACTGGCACCTCCTGAAGTTTTGCAGGGGTGTAGACAGGATCTGTATAGAAACGCCGCAGGTTTCCCTTTACTAAAGAAGTGCAAATTAAATCATGAACACGAAGTTTGTATGAGCAAAGTGACCGCGAACTTCAGCGCCTCTGCTCTTGTTCGACGAGGCAGATCCAGCTGAAGTCGCGGTTGCAGGATCTGTGAGATGCGCTGCGTGCTCTTCCTTGCGACGGCAGCTTGAGCACCAGGCTGCAATGATCAAGCTCAGGTTGATGCGTTGTCGATCCCGCCTCGTCATGCCGAATCGGTGCAGGAGGGAGCGCCTGAGGTCCAGAAAATCCGCCAAGGACCATTTGTGAGGAACGTCCATCGCCTGGGCTCACATCGATCTTCATTCTCGGTCAAGAAAAGCAAGCAGGGAAGCAACAGGCAAAACAATGAGCTGATGCAATTTTTAGACCACGACACATGATGGCCCATGCAGGCGAACATCAATGCATGGAGAACATCCTCGCCAGGCTTTCCTGAAGCAAGTCCAGGAGCATCGAGTAAGGGGGCTTCTTCAAACCCTGAATGTGTTTTCACGACTTCAAGCAAGTCGAGCTACCCGCTTGCGCCGCCTTGGTGAGAAAGCGTTCGTGCAGCCCGCAGGTGTGCCCTCTCACATTGTAGGAGCTTGCCCGGGACGCGTGCCCCATCAGCTGTACGCCTCAAAGCATTGCGACTACAGGAACCTGAGGAAGAGACTACGACTACACGCTGGCCTCTTTGGCGGGCTCCTGCGTCCGTCCATGCGGTGGCACGGAGAATAATCGCTTCCCGGATTTCAAAGTCACAGAGCTTGAGCACGGGCTCCAGGCGGCACACACTGGGCTGGGTAAGCTTCACGAGCTCCACCAATTTCTTCCAAAAGCTGATGAAGACGTGATCTCCGTCGAGATCTCCACCTACAGCAACATGTCATGCGCAACACTTCAGCAATGCGTCGGCCGGAGAAGACTCGAACATCCACATTCCATACAATT